TGCCATATGTGCCGCAAAGGAAGGTCATGAAACCAAGTGTGTGTGTTACTTCCTGACAAGTTGTGATCCACCTTAAACAAATTCATACCATCGGCACTTTATTCTACTCTTTTTTTTACGATTTTCTTTCACCTCCAACCAACTCTTGTAAAGTCAAACAGTGATAGGAAATGAATGATCGAAGCAAGTTTTGGTGAAACTGGAAGCCTACATGTTGGCAGTGAATGTAGTCATCAACACCACTATCCTCATTAAGGAAGCAGTCATCAAAGAGGAAATTAAATTCTTGGATCCAAAAAATGACAAAAATGACAACATATTAATGTAATAATTATTTGGGGATCAGTTTATTACGTTAAGAACAGAAGGTAAAAATCTGCTTTATATAAAGTATAGAATCTTATCAGAATTTTCTGCTATTGATAATGATAATATATGAAATTGAGAAAATGACTTAAATATTTTTAAGTCTTTACTAGAAATGCAGTATGGAATTTATGCCAGGAAATACCAAATGATCTGAATGAAATGTTCATCAGGAATCTTTAATCTAAAAGGAGTTGATCTGTGGTGACCCCATTATCTACTGAGTTCACCCTAAGAGATGCCAATTGTATTTGTTGCAATTCTATGGAAATAAAAGGCATCGTTATTTGTGTATCCCTTGTAGTTGAGAGCATGAAACTTGGAACAAAGTTTGAAAAAGTTTATTATTGCTCTATATTTATTGGCATTTCTCAAGTTTCAATATACAATTTATAAGCTTTTTTCTTAGAGACTAGTTCTGGTCATAAAAGTAGGCACAGTAAAGTATTGTGTAAATATATATGTTTTCAAATTGTTTAAATCTTTTTGGAATCATTAATCAGTTTTATACTATGTTTGAAAAAAAGTAACTCCTGTGATTGTTAGATCTTTAGAAATCAATGAATGAAAGAATAAAAGAAATGGAATAGCACTATTAGTTTCAATGTAATATAGCCATAAGCTGTTTTGTCATGTGAATCTGTACTTGGTAACTGGGAGGTCACCTCAGCTCTCACCTGCACGCGGCTTCTCTGATGTCACACTGAATGCAAAGTATGTTCTTACATGATCTGAGGTGAGACACATACTACACAATCACTCGATCCTCTCAATTCTGGTGGTGGCATGAAGGAATCTGGTGGATTCTTCTTCTGTTTGGAAGGAAGAAAACAAGTAGAATAGAAGAAAAAGTATATTATATAATATAGGCAGACTGAGACATTGCAGTTAAGAATGGTAATAGTAATAGTATTTGTTTCCTTATAAGGAAACATTCAACATTTATTGACAGTGCAGCCAGTGCTATTATAACCCTTTTACTGCTGCCTACAGCTGGTGGTGTAACCATGTTTAATGGTCTGGTCATCAGGGTCTTAGGACAACGTTTTAACCACAGGGCTAACTCTGCACTGGTCAATACTGATGCTGGTCCAAGCTGGCTGCTGGCTGCTTCAATCCACACTAACTCTGCCCATATTGTGTTCTTGATCCCAGAGCAGTGGAAGATCAAATGTTGTAGTAATTGAAGCACTGGTTTGAGCCATGGTGGGAGCTATATTAAACTAAGAAATATCTTCACAATGAAAAATAAAAATAAAAGATTTGTTGAGTTAATCTTCAATTGGTTTATATAGTTATAGGTACAACAAAAATTAACTCTCCCTGCATCAATCTCTACAATGACACTGTGCCATATCTAAAATTCAGGGTTCAAAGTTCTTCAGAATTAGAAGATCTGGTGGCAGTTGATGTGAATTTCAGAGGCACTGATGCAAGAAGTCCTTGAGCTCAAAGCTGTCAGCTTATATGTACTTCAGCCCCAAACCACCATAGGGATGAAGGGTTCTGAGGATTCATTGATTCCCCAATTTTCATAGTAATCCCAACAATGGTTTTTTTATTCCCTATTTTTGCTTTCTTAATCAACTTTACAGATTTGGAGAACTATCCACCTTTTTGGGAGTAGTTACTGGGATTTCTCCTTCTTTCAACTCCAACTTACTTCACTTTACATATTGTACCATCACTCCATGCAAGTGGTGCTAAATTCTCCCTCTTCCTCCTCCTTTCGCAGCATTCAACCTCAGCCTACTTCCCAAGGCAGGCATAACTGTCTTTATGACAAATCTAATTTTTAAAGCGTGTAGCTGAAAGGACAGTTTTATTCTAGTTATTAATTTTAATTTGCTTGATTCCTTGAGAAAGACATAAATTTATTTCTCAGTTCCTGCACTTATCTCTGTCCAGTGGAAATATAAATCAGATCACCTGTTCATCAACAACAGGACCTGTTTTCATAACTTCAATCCTCAAAAAGGGTTTGTTCTTTATTTAAATTTATCAAGCGAGAGACAAAATTATTTATCAATTTGTTTTTTGTCTATAAAAATATAATCCAGATCTATCTCTCTTCTGCTAACATTATTCATCTGCTTAAATTTTCAAGGTAGAGAGAAATTTATTTCTCAATTTGTTTTACCCACATGCCAGATTCTCAATAGATAAAAAAATAAATTTTAGGGGAGAAGAAAGGCAGATGGCCCTTTCCACCAAAAAAAATGTCTCCACCAATTCTTTCTCTCTATATCCTTCCAGCTTATATTCAATTTTAGGCTTAATTCTTTACTGTCTTTTTCAGCTCATAATTAATATTTAACCACTTCATGGGCTCAGTGTCACACTATTGGCTGAAATTTATAAAATCTTTCTATTATAGGTTTCTCAATTCCAGTAACTGTTACTACTCTTTCCAGTATTGATGGGGGCTTTCCTTCCTAAACTTTTGTTTAAAGTAGTGTGGAATGTCAACATCTTATATTGTTATTTTCTCTTCAAGGTATATGTGTTATCCATTTTAGTTGTTGCTGATGTTGAAATTTCTCAAGTGATACATTTCCGACATGTGGTCTAGAGCCACTCACACACAGTAGCTGAGGGAAATTAAGTCAGATGTCAAATAAAATGTAATATTCAGTATTAGAAATTTGTATTCATGTGTTATCATTTCATTAAATTGGCACAATGAGTTTAAAGATTTCTCTTTGGCTTTTAATATTTTCAATATGATTTCTGTATCAATAACAGTTTTGTAAGAAATGGCAACAAAGATGAGGACAACAGTCCAAACATTGTAAATAGTATAAATAATTACAATACAATATATATATATATATATATATATATATATATATATACAGTAGCGTCCAAAACTAAGGGACAAAATTTTAAAACCTAATATTTGTTAGAAATAACAACTGTGAAAAGCTGAAATTTTGACAACTGGTAGTCGTTATCATCCATAATAACATACTAAAATTTGAATCATTTGCAAAGGATAGAAAAAGAATTATAACAATTATTTATTTATTTTCAAATTTGGAACGTCCAAAAGTAAGGGACAAAATTGAGAAAAACAATGTAACCGGCAAAAAAACAATAAAAATACATGTACAATCAATATTTAGTAAATGAGCCCATGCTCTCAATGACAGCTGCACATCTTCGACTACAAGAACGAATCAGTTCTTGACAATCCTCGATACTAATTTTAGACCATTCTTCTTAAAGCTTCACCCACAAATCCTCCGTGTTAGTGGGATTTCTTTCCATAACTTTCACTCCTAAGGTCTTCCAAAGATTTTCTATTGATTTAAGTCAGGACTTTGCGGTGGCCAATCCATAATTTCCAAATCTTGCTTGCTAAGGTAACTCATTACCACCTTTTGTGTTTTGTGACATGGGGCATTATCTTGCATAAAGGTAGCCCCATCGAAACCTGAATTCTGTATGATTGGCACAACATGATCTTGAACAATGTTTTTATAGATCTGCGCGTTTACATGAGTTTGTAACCAGACAAGAGGCGTTGTACCTTGGCTAGAAAACATTCCAAATACCATGACGCTTCCGCCCCCAACTTGACAGTTTTCTTAGTACACTTTGCACTTAATCTTTCACCAATACGTCTCTTTACATTGTTTTTTCCATCATTTCCAAATAAATTAAACTTGCTTTTTCATCATTGAAAATACTTTTGCCCAATTTTCATATGTCCAAATTACATACCTGTTTGCAAACTCTAATCTCTTCTTCTTATTCTTCGAACTAACAAGTGGTTTCTTCCTTGGGGTTCGATTAAACAGCCCTATTTCTTGCAGTCGTCTACAAACAGTCTGTCTTGACACATTAACACATGAGGTACTATTCATAACCCTTTTAATTTCTGTGCAAGACTTAAAACAGTCCTTTAATGACATACGGTGCATTATTCGATCTTCTCTTGCCAAGTTTTATGGGTCTGCCGGTTTTAAAAGCACTAACTATTTTGCCATTGTAGGATTTAACAACCCTGCCTACAACACTCTTGGAACGTTTCACTTTCTCTGAAATCTCTAATGGTGTGCTTTTTCCTTGTGTAGCTTCACAATAGCTTGTCTCACAGAGTAATCAAGTTTTTTGGCGTTTTCGCCATGGTGCCGGCTGATGCAACGTATACAAATGACTAAGTAAGACTTATTCTTTAGAGGAAATCAAAAAATTTGAATATAGCATACTGTTTACATTGTTTTTCTCAATTTTGTCCCTTACTTTTTGGACGATCCTATTTTGAAAATAAATAAATAATTGTTATAATTCTTTTTCTATCCTTTGCAAATGATTCAAATTTTAGTATGTTATTATGGATGATAACGACTACCAGTTGTCAAAATTTCAGCTTTTCACAGTTGTTATTTCTAACAAATATTAGGTTTTAAAATTTTGTCCCTTAGTTTTGGACGCTACTGTATATATATATATATAGACTGATGGCAACAGACGTTTATCCATTAAGTTGGTGAGTTGGTGAAATGTTGTTTTTTAGTCTTTCTTACTCGACTGTACTAGTAACCTTCAAGTTAAGTCTACCTTTGAATCCAACTTATTCTGTAACAGTAATTTTTATTGTTATTCTTATAATATTTTTTTGATTTCAGAAAAGAGAAGATAAACTGGACTCCATTTTGGATGAAATGAGACAAGGGGATAATGAAGGAGTCTTGAATTCTCTCCAACAACAGACCAAAATACTATTAACAAACATTCAAATAAGGTAAGCATTTACAACCAGTGGCATAGCATGTGCAGGGACAAATGACTGATTGCACTGGCCACTAAATTTTTAGTAGCACAAAAAAATGTTAGATTAAAAAAAAATTACAAAGAAACTAGAATTCATAACAGTTCATGGCTAAGGAGGAGGAATGATTGTTTAAATTGCCCAGGTGCTAAAAACTGACCTTGTACCATTGTTTGCAACAGAACCATATTTCAAAGAAGCCAGTTATTTTAGGGTTTTATTTGTTTTAACCTAAAATAAACCCTGAAAAACTTAACCTACATTTTTACATTTGCAAATATCAAATTGCTTATTGGTCTACACAGAACTAGGGAGAAAATACTTCAATATATTTTTTCTCAAATCTTGACAAATTAACTAGGGGATTTTTATGATGGTGTGTCTTCAACACTAGCAAATACGATACAGATGCACACAGCAATGACACTATTAAACAATAATTATTTAAATGCTTCATAGGACATGAAAGCCTCCTGCAAAAGCATGAAAGAAATGCCATACATTTTGGGAACAAATAGTCTGAAATAATGCAGGCTTTTACAGTTTTTAATATGAGGATCTGTATGGGTAAGTATGCATGCTACTGTCAGAGGGCCAGTGACTAAACCGGCTACCCATTCCAAGATCTTACAAGGAGGGTTGTTAGGAAATAGATAAAAAATAAGACCTAACAAAGGACAGAAAAACATCAACTCTTGGCACTACCAACAATACTCTTACTCCTAACCTCTTTCCTGATAAACAGCAAACAAAAATGACATAACAATTTTCTAACAACTATATATATATATTATGTATATTTAATGATTACACTTGGGAAAGGTATGAATCCTCTTCTCTCCCCGGCACCAGGTATGGGCAAATAGCAGGACAGATCAGGTTCTATAGCCTTGGATGGCAATTAGTCTACTGCAGAAAGAAATGGCAAACTACTGTGGGGAAAAAAATCTGCCTCGTCAGTCATGTATCAAAAGATAGATGATCGCATAAGCGTGTATCTTACATGGCACATAACTGACTGAATGATTACATGCTGCTGACAATTTAATCCTTGTTATTCCTTTCATTCACATTTTTAAGGCCTCTTTCTCATAGAAGAGAAAATAGGTATTTATTCACAAAAGAAGAGAAAATGATATTCACGTACCTCCCAAAAGGGAAAAAAAACATTTACGGGATGGGCTGTAGTGTATGCAGGTGAGTGTGGCATGTGGTTGTTTGAAATTAAGAAGTTGGCTTGCCATGCAACTAAATTTCTTTGGAGGAGAATACTGAGCATGTCTTCTGCCTACCACATCTGAGAGCAAAAAGAGAAAAAGGGTTTAAGTTCCTTCCTTTTATAACCCTGAATAGAACACCATGTAGTGGGAATCCTGGCATACAAATTGGAGTAATTCCTACACATTTTACGGTTTCCTTCTCAGTTCAGAGAAAATAGATATTTATTCACAAAAGAGAAAACTATATTTGTGTATACAGATAGCCCTAAAAAAAGGAAATAAAAACATTTATTGATTAGCTGTAGAGAGTGAGTGTGTGTGTGTGTGTGTGTGTGTGTGTGTATATATATATATATATATATATTTATATATATATATATATGTGTGTGTATGTGTGTGTGGCACATGGTTCTATAAAAGTTGACTTGCCAATGTAACTACTCTTCTTTGGAGGAGAATATTAAACTTGTCTTCTACTTACCAGATCCTGGAGTAAAAAGAGAAAGAGATTGCTTATGCCCCTTCCTTTTATAGCCCTGAATAGGACACCATATAGTGGGAATACTGGTATACAAAATGGGGTAATTCTCACACATTTTAAGGCTTCTTGCTCATATCAAAGAAAATATCTATTCATTATTAAGGTTTCCTTCTCCTATCTGTTTTGCCCTTGTGTTATTCTCATTTAGTCTTAGTAAATATATAAACTTCAATAATTTAACCCTTTTACTATCAATTATGGTTTTAACTCAAAATCATAGTATATATATTCACAGTGGGTGTTTCTTGATGTAAACTTTTTATAGTGAATTAACCATGAATTTATTATATGGGTTAATTAGTAGTTAATTAGTAGTACTTGTATCAGTAAAATAATTATCATTTCAAAAAAAATCTTACAATCTAAAAATATTTTCTGGTTTTAAATAACTTGTGAAAGGTTTATAAACTGTAAAAAAAAACAGAGTAATAAATCTTTTTTGGAAAACTTGAGACTAAATGAACAGTAGAAAATCTTTTTTTGTTTTAATTAAATATGCTAAAAAATTTTGTTGTTTATGAAATTTATGTTACTGTTTTAAATTTAAAAAAATAAATAGGTATTTTTTGTTCCTCTTGCAGTTATCAGGACTTTTATGCAGAGCAAGTAAAGATAGTGAAAACTTATCCCAATATGGTGGCCAGGCAACTTGAATATTATAAAGAAAACATCTGCGTATTTTTCAAATTACAAAAAGTGGTGAGTTTCAAAGATTTTGCCATGAAAAAAGGACTAACGGCATTCTGAGGTCTTGCAAGAACTACTGTCAAAGAATCAAATAATTACTTACACTGTAAACATACAATGACCCCCCCTCCCCATCCAGCCTCTAATTTTTAATTGACTGGATGCATAAAACCCCACATTGCATTGCAGTTCTCATTCGTATTGGTGTGCACCAAAAACTGGGAAAGGGCCTGTTTCAACCTCATAAGGAAATAAAGAGGGAAAATAAATACAACGGCAAGAAATGAGGACTTGACCCCTGTTTCTAATATACTTACTGTAACCCATTTACCTTACCCCCCGCAAAAAAATAGGAGGCCATCTTATACTCCAAGTATAAAGTGTGACCCTTAATTCCTGCGGTTTATGGTAAGTTGTTAACATGGGAGATTTTTAGATTAGATTTTTTTTTTTTTTTTTTAGACAGTAGGCTAACGTCTGCCTTGGTAACTATCAACACAAATATTTTCTACTTAAACAATTTGATTCACATTATTATAATAAAAGTGTAGTGTAATAAAAGTACTCTTACCTTATATAATATGTGCTATGATTGCACAACAGCAATAAAATGCATATTCATCAAGAAAAAAATCCTAAACCATCATCACACGCTGGGTGCATTCAAAGTGCTTCACCAGATAGAGCGTTCAGAAAAAAAGATGTTTATAGTAATAATTCACGAATAGACTGGTAATCTTAGTTTAGCATACTAGCCAGTTCTCGTTGGCCATTGGGGAAGTGCGAGCTCTTATTTTGTTACTAGCATTATCCAGAATATGAAGCACGTTTGAAGTTGAATGCAGTAAATTGGCAAGGAACATAATAGCTGCACTGTTGCAAGACATTATGGTGTAACAGAAAAGATGATTTGAGACGGGAGAGGAAAATAAGATGCATTAAAGAGCATTCCAAAGACTAAATGTGCAATAAGAACAGGCGCCGCACATTGGTGGCTACTTGAAAATCATGTACCAGATATGGTGTTTGAAGATCATCAAAATGGTTAATCAAATACAATATATTTTAAAATATGATTGAGGTGGGAGGTGTCTTTGTTGTGGTAAGAGCCAGTTACCATCCTTACCATCAGGAATGGACTGATCCATTCATGATAAGTAGTCCTGAGTAATTGTCTAGGACAAAGAAGATAATATTATTGCAGTTGCTTGTCTAGCTGAGTATTGAATACTGCCTATCATGACTGACAATTTATGTTCTGTGTCTTACCAGACCCCACATAAACCAAAACCTACATTTTAACTTGAAAATTTGGGTGTTGTCTTATATGCTCATTCTCCTTGTTTGCATGCCAGCATATACAATAGTCATCTAATCCAAAGATTGTCTCACATGGTTTTAGGTTGGTGGCACTTGAAACAACTTCTGACATCACAGACTAACAGATCAACTTTTCACCTCAACTCTTATTCCTACCACCTCTCTACCCATCTCAACATTGCAGTGTGGCTGATGACTCTAATGGGTGGTATCAGTACTAACCCAAATACAAAACATTTAAGACTGAAATAAAATCAATCACTATGCTTTTATGCGTGTGTCCCAATTACAGAGTCACAACTTAACAATCTTAGTATTAAGTAAATATAACTTTAAATGAATGAAAATCTGAATTGATTTTATGAACTTAATGTCAGTGATGTTTATATATTTGCATTTCTTGACAAAAGTCGTCTCTTCCACTCCAATAGCTTCATGTCTCGCACCTCTCGCCTGTGGAACTCCCTTCCCTATTCCAGTTTCCCTGAGTGCTATAATCTCCAACTATTCAAATGTAATGTCAATCGACATCTCCAGTTGCCTTTATCTATCCACTATCCTTCTCCTCATACTTTCCTCTATCACTCCTATCTGATTTTGCTTTAAATCTTCTGTAACCCCTTGCATCCTAGTGGCTTCCCGCCTTGCTTGGGGTGAAACACTTAAAAAAAAAAAAATCCAAAAAAGGGTCTGTAATGTTATTGGGCTTGACCTGGCATCTTGGCTTCACACACATTCCTTCCACTATGGTGTGGCTTCCCTGTCTTTTTTTTTTTTTTTTAATGATTTCACCCTAAGCAAGGCAATAAAGCCACTAAGACACAAAGGGTTACGAAGTGTGAAAAAATATAAAAGAAAAGAAAAACATAATTAATGAGAGAAAACAATAAAGAAACAAGAATTAAGAAAATAGAAGAGTGACATTGCTTTTAAATTTGACTGGAAATCAAGAAGCTGAAAGAGTTCCACATGAGAGAAGTTCTAATAAGCTTTCCTCCTTAATCACTTGACATCATGAATTTAAGCATTTTACTAGATTGGCAAATGGGTTTCATTGTTTTACTGTTAAAATAGCTAGATGTAAGCATAAGTTCTATTCTAATAGTTTCTTTTCTTGCACCTCTCACCTGTGGAACTCTCTTTTAGCTTTCTTGGTTCTCTGCTACCTTCAATCTTGAAAAATTTAAATGCAACATCACTCGTCATCTTCCGTCTTCCTGGAATCTGCTCTTTTATTGTCCTTTCTCTTTAGTAGTTTCTTGTTTTCTTTCACTCCCAGTAGCCCATCTTAGTGACATTATCACAATGCTTAGGGTGAAATAATTAAAAGATTAAAAAATGAAGAAAAAATGTATATCAATTGCAATTTTGTGTTTTAATTTGTTTAATTAAAAAAGAAATTAAATAAATTGATAAAATAAATTCATTAATAAGAAATTAAACTCATGCCAACCTAATTAGTTTACTAAGATGTACTAACAAAATTAGACCTACCTTGTAGTGAAGATAGTTGCATATTTCACATTTGGGCCAGAGGTTAGCATCTGAATTCAGGATTTTGAATGCTGATTTTCAAGACAAGCAGACCAGCCTTCCCAAACACGAAGATTAGCATAACATAATCTTCCAACTCCATCTTCCCCACCCACTCCATTTGATCTCATGGTATATTATGTTTGGTAAATGTCTGAATGCTGATTTTCTAGGAAGACAGGCTTTTCCAATTTGTAAAGTTAACACAGTCTTTCTACCCCTATCTCCCATCCCTATTTAGCCCTATGTTCTACTGAACCAATATTAGTAAATAAGTCTACCAGTAGAAGTTAAAAAAACCCAAAAAACTTGTAACTTTAAATTGTTTTTTTTTTATTGTTACAGATATTATTCATGCTGTGTTGGTAGCATAACAGTTATCAGGGCAGAAAGGTGGTATCAATGAGTTCAAAGTTCAATTGCCAAGCCTAATCTACCTCCTTCATTCACTTTTGTACAAATGCTCATCTAATCTCCTAGCTATGGGTTAAATAACAGAGTAGACTATGTTCTTTTGCCTTGGGTGGCATCTCAAGATGGAGAAGGAGAACTCTGGCAACTCTGAATTTAAAGCCATGAAAAAAGCAATGATAAACCAATCCCCCATCTTTAATACACAGATAATAAAGAGGAAGCTGTGGAGAGCCATGATCGCTTATGCTCTGAATGGGACATGGCATTAAAAAAAATATAAAAAAGAACATATTTACGAACATAATTTTATGTTAAAATCTTTTTTTTATAATTTCACCTCAAGCAAAGTTAAAATTTCACTAGAACACAGAGAGTTCCAGTGAGTGAAAGAGAATTAGAAGACTTTAATTGAGAGGATTGAGGAAAGGACAAAAAAGGAACAGGGTTCAAAAAAACAGAAGATGCCAATTGACATTACATTTAAATTTTTGAAGATTGTAGTTATCATGAATAAGATTTGTTAGATCATAATTAATAAAAACAAAAAATAGATAAAAGTATATATAACACCATAATACTGCTGGGCACAAATTATAAAACAAAATGTTTTAAATTTTCATTGTTTATTGAAAATCACATCTTACATCATAATCCAGCTAAACTGTTCAGTATAATTTTCGTTTGAAGTAAATGAAGGTCTTATTTGATGGCACAATGATTTTTGGTAATGATAAGACTTTCACTGAACACCGGAATGAAATTCCAACGCTACAATTTTGAAACTAAACCTAAGTTTTAAGCTCTTTTCCTCAAAAAATGGTAATGATTTGGAAAAAATAATATTTTGTTTCTTTATTTACCATGTCAAACCCCAACTTTCAAATTGAGTGCAATACCATGGTTCTAAAATCAACCTGCTCTAATGTATCATCATGACATTCATAAATTATCAATGATAAAGAACCAAATTATTATAATCCCTTCATTCCCATCACTTTAAATGTTATTTTTAGTGGATACTCATATTTGAATAGATGCTCCATTTATTTATTAAATAGTATATTTATTTATTTTTGTCTCCCAGCCTGAATATTCGAGAAATCTTATTAAAGAAAAATATGTGCTCTCCAGCAGGATTTGAACCTGAATCACTCTGGGCAAAGGAAAACTGTCATTAGATTTGACATGATTTAACCACAATTCAACCACAAAGAAGCTTTGCTGATCAAGCAAGGTTTGAACAGTGCCTTTAAGTAAAAGCCTTCTTATCATAGATTACTCAAAATTATCATATCTGCTCAGTTTCGTATCTAAATGTAAACAAAGAAGCTTAAATTATGAATATCCACTAAAAATAATGCTTAAAGTGATGGGAATCTGTCGCATTAATAAATAAAAAATCCACTACTTCTTTAGAAAATTAATCTCTTCATTACAGATCCCTACACTTTATAAGGAGGTATGGTGGAGTAATGGATAGCGGCTCAGATTGAGGAATCACAGAGCTGAGTTCGAATTCCACTCAGATTCATTACATTCACTTACATGCTAATACCCTTGGAAAAGGTATGACTCCTCTTCTTCCGCCCCCGGCTATGTGTAAATAGCAGGACAGACCAGGTTTTGTAGCTTTGGATGGCAACTGGTCTACCGCAGAAAGAAATGGCAACCTACTTCAGGAAAAAATCTGCCTTATCACTCATGTATTGAAAGATACATGATTACCTAAGCATGTATCACATATGGCATAACTAACTGACTCTATACAAAAATTGCTATATTTTGCTCCTTGTGTTCAATTTGACATTTTTTTTTTTTTTTACAATAATGCTCACCCTGTCAAGGTCCAAAAGGCTCTCTATGTAGAGAGTTACATAGTAAGAGGCACAGATTATGGGGATGTGATGATAACAATTAACCTTAGATTTGAACAGGTTAAGATTGTAGTGATTGAGGAAGCTTCCTCTTGCGAGGAGTTTCCACAAAGCAGCATTTTCATGTTAAGAAGCTGTTTGAGTGGAACTTACATCTCACCAATGGAATACAAACAAAGGGAATGGGGGGGTTGTTACCGTGCGTGTGGTATGCTACCATGCGTGTGGTAGGCTACAGTGCGTGTGGTATGCTACAGTGCGTGTGGCATGGCAGGTCTTAGCCATGAAGGTTAAAACTGGTGGAAATTAAGAAATGCAGTTCATCTGAACATTTTCCAGGGAAATAGTAATCAAACAGCAACAGGCTTACAACGTTTCATCTGTGGGAAAGGGGTTGCAGGGTGGAAAGTAATTCATCACCCACAAGGACACAGAGACATCTTTGGACTCTATCAAGATTGGAAAGTGAAAACTGGGTGGCTCCTGTCCATATATGGCAGCAGTATTCTATTTTTGGCCTGGTCTGGCTCTTGTAAATAGAAGGTGGAGTCAGGTACTTACTGGAGTGTTGAAGGGATCTGAACATTTCTGCAGCCTCTTTAGTGATGGATCATATACAAAAGTTTCACATGAGGGAGTATCTATTCATTGCAATAGGTGAAAATTCAGTGTCCACTCGGTGAACGTCACAAGTTTTCTTAAGAAACAGTTCTTTTTAACACAATATGCCTGTTAATCTGATGTTAACAAATATTAAAAATGATATCCAATTTATCCATATTTTCTGATTCTTTTTCCTATATAGGATATGTCTCAGAGCAAAATAGTTCCAGCAGGAGAGGACACAGAAGAATATAATGAAACTGTTAGCCATACAGATTCTGTCTCATCAGCCGTAAGCAGCAAACCAGATGATATGAATACACCAAAATCTTTAGATTTATCTGGAGACACTCCGTTTTCAAGTGAACCAAACGAATCTTCAAAGGCGGCATCAAAATTATCTGAAAATGAAGTTTCTACAAGGATAACACCTGAAAAAACAACTCCAACTGACAATGACCGCATGGAACAAGTAGAGAACGATGACAATACTTCCACATCTTCAAAACATTTATCTGCTGTTGAATCTAAGGTGAGATGATTTGATTTCTGGCTTTCATGATTGTATTACTCTTGATTTTATCACTCTTGAAAAAAAAAAATCAATATATTTTTTCAGGATATTTTCAATTCATAATTTACATTTTAATTTCATTAATCATGAGTATTATCTACTGGAACATTGACACCAACATGCACCTCATAATATCAAGTATTATTTTTCATGCTTTAACAAATTTTAGTCACTGATGCGTTAATATTCACTAATATCTATTAAGTAAGTACCTCCACTCGTCACTGTAAAAACAGTATAGCATGATGAAAAAAGGCCCCAAACTTAATAAAAACAAAGTTTTATCATCAAAATGTTTGTTATTATTAAGAAGAGGAAAGTATTTTTTATTATTTTAGTAAATTTTTAATCCTTTCTAGCATACTAGAAATTTTGGTTAAAAATCTTGTTTTTTTGCATCAGTAGTCAACGTATTATTTATGATTAGTATTTTTGCGCTTTTTTCAGGTGAAAAACACATTGATTTGGAAATTCTTGCAAAAATCAAATAATTGTCAGATTTTAATGAAACTTTCACAAATGAATGAAATTATTTTTGTGATTTTTTTTTTTTAGAAAATCTTGGTAAAAAATTATTTTTTTTTTTACATATGTTACCGCCACTTACTTAATTTCATGAAATTTCAAGAAATTAAATTTCAATCTCAAAATTTTTATTAGTTAAAAACAGGACTTCTTGAAGAATGTAAATCATCAATTTTTTTTTTTCAAACTACTGCTCATTTCCCAAAAATCTGATACAAATCTTAAAAAACTGCAATGAAACTATGACATTATTTAATTAGAAAAGCTTTTAATTATTTTTATAAATGAAATTTATTAAGGACGCTATTGTCTTAAGACAAAAAATTTTTTCAATGAATAATGAATTTTTACAAGAATTATTTCATTTTTTTTTTAATTTTAATTATAATAATTTATAATATATATAAGTTAAAATTCTGCATTATTTCTATCTGGTTAGGTGATATTGTTATTAAGTGAAAACTATATTTACTAATCAAAAATTGAAAATCCTAATACAATGTATTTTGCTTCAAGATTTTTAAAATAATTTTTAATATTTTTTATGTATATAGCAACAAATAAATCTGTCAATACCTTATCAAAGTCTGTAAAGTGACATACGAGTCGAGTCAAGTGATAAATGACAGGGACAAGTGTGATCACCACTACTGTTCATTTTAAAAATCCATTTCTCTGTTATTTTAAACTTAAAGTAAATAAGTTTTTCAAATTAATTATACCTTAAATCACCTAATATTCCTCAGATAAAGTTTCTGAAAAGTATATTTTATTTTTGGAAGATTTTTAAAATCAGGAATTAATTTTTGTTTACAAATGTGTAAAAAATAGCTGATTTTAAACGATTTCTGAATGCAACCAAAAATTTGAGATTATACTCAATATAATTTCTATTTGGAATACACCAGAGTATTTTGCCTATTGGAAATAGTAAATTTAATCATTTAGCTTTCCATTAAAACTAAAAAGAAAGCTTGAAGAATGCTTTTTCATTTTTAAAAATTCCTTGGGTATCAAAAATTTAGTAGTGGTTCTTAAAAGTATAATATCTATAAAAGTACAGAAAACCAGACTATCCTTTTGTTAGCTCTGATAAATTTGTTAATATAATTTTTGGCTTTTCTAGCAAATTTATACATTGTAATCCTCCTTCTGTCACTATCTCTGCTAACCTTGTCGAGTAACACTGACCTTAGAGATCATCTAGCTTTCTTCTCCCTTCTCAGTTGGGGCCTGGTGTGTCATCTCAGTAGGGCTGATCCTAGTTTTCCACAATCTTACAGTATTGGGGCAGACAGTGATGATGAGCAGAGGAGCAAGATATACATTGTGTACCGCTGATAAGAAATGAGCAATTCTCAACTGCGGCTGTGGTAAATTGGTTCTTTGAGTTTGGGACTGTGTCAGGAATCAAGACTGGAATGAAAACTCATTCAATAAAGCAGACAACTCTTTTGAAACACAAACAAAAAGTTTATTAAATGCTAAAAACTAGCGAATACAATGTCTCTATTATCTACTGAATGTCTAAGTTCAACCCTGTGAAATCTAGTAGTAATTGTTGAATCAAGATTAACCAGTTGCATCTCACTTAATTCTTTTGTCTTGCATGTCTTTGTTTACTTCTCTTTCCACCAGTCACTTAGAGTTTCTAATTAAGATTTTTAATTGGTTCTTTCATTGATTTCTGCTAAATATAATCTTTCTTCATGACTTTTCTGATCTACTTTAATTCCTTTTAATACTACAAGACTTCCAAATGGTATTTTTTATGGATAAAGACTTTATCTGGTTACACTGAGATGAAGTGCCTCATTATCCTATATTATTTAGGTTATTGATCTGCTCTTTGTTTTGGCTGAATCATTTTACTACAGATTCTTTGACCATCCTTAGACATTCATTGCATTCATTAGCCTTTCTCCTTTGCATCTTTTCAACTGGAATGCAACAGAACCACATAACTGGGTGTTAAAGTCTTTAGTTAGTAGCTAGAATTGGAGATGAGAGAGACTGGAATCTATTTGACATTTTGGTGTTGGGGGTGATGAGGTTACAGAACAATAGCAGATGATTTTTAAATGACCTTATATGGATCTTGTTATGGTGGAACTTAAGTGCTAAAAAAAATTTTTTTGACGCACTATTTTTCATTTTCATAAATCTTTTCTATCAGTATGCATGCAGTTTGCTTCCAATATAAATTTTGGATTATTCTAATACCTATCTCAAATGAACTAAGCCTACCTAGCAGTTCAAACAGTACTTTGTGACATTATCAAATGCTTTTGCATAATCTATAATACATAGGTGGTTTGTGGGTCTTGGCAATGATCATCCTTCTTTGAACATTATCACATCCTGAGTAAGACGATAAACTACATCTGGCAGCAAGGCCTATGATCAGGAGGTTTTGAGGAGCATGGAAGCAACTCTTAATTACTGGTTTTCCCAGGTCCTCCCTGAACCAGGATGGTACCACCTGTTAGGATACCAGCTATAGGAAAACAGTTAACCCCCAAACTTGGGTCAATACACTATGAAAGTGTAAAAATAGGTTTTAGTACTAGCAATACATTTTTGAAAAAAAATATTACCAGAAATACATTTAAAAAAAAAAAAATATTACCAGCAATACATTTTTGAAAAAAAAATATTACCAGCAATAAAAATCTTGTCAGCATTAAATAACCCATTGATGTTGATATGCTGTATAACGAACCAAACCAAACCAAACCAAACCTGAATATTGTCAATTGGCACTACAGAATCACAAAGAACTGTACCATATAACAGAAAACACGTCACTTGAGGACTTACAACAGCAGCAACAACTAAAATGGATAGCATATGTAACTTGAAGAGAAAACAATGACATAATTAAGATACTACTTCAAATAAAACATTAGGAAGGAAACTTCTATCAATACTGGAAAGAGCAATAACAGCTACTGGATTTGAGAAACCTATTTTCTTTTCCTGAAAAATTGTTTTAAGATTTTATAAATTTCAATGACAGCAGTACTGGCTGCTTGGTTAATGAATGCTGAATGTTTTCTGATAAGGAAATGGTCAATATTACCATTACCATTAGAGATGAGGAGAACAGATAATATACTTTGAACTCTGTCCAATGACCACGGTATGAAAAAACTCAAGTAACACTGGCTGTTGAGTCAATGAATGCTGAATGTTTCCTTCTAAAGAAACAGCTAATATTACCATTACCATTAGGAGAACAGATACTACAATTTTATCTCTACACATATGACCATGGTGTGAAGAAAAATGTAACTTAAGTAGCACTGACTGTTTGGTCAATGAATGCCAAATGTTTCCTTATAAGGAAATAGCTAATGTAATATTACCATTACCAATTTTGAGCACAATGAAAGTTTGTTTTTTTTTTCCCCAAGGAAATAAATGTTTTAAAAAGTTTATTAAACCTGAATCACTTTTTTCTTTTTATGGTTTCTGTTCTTTTCCTGAAGAATTGATTATAACACCTGAGCTTTTATTTGATGAAATTCAGTCAGGTTAGCAACGTCAATTTGGTTTGACAACAATTGAAGTTATTCTTTAAAAAAAAATGAAAAAAAAAAAGAGATTTGTTTGATCAGGTTTCTAATGTTTTAGCTTTTCATTTTCTAACAAATACTTTAGCAACAATAAAAACTTTTCTGTAGCATTCTTTACACTTTTCTTACCTACAGCCAATGGGTTCCTTCATTTGTGACCACATAACACTGGCTGGTGACACATCATGCATTGACAGAGTTTTATGCACAAGGGTTGGATATGTGGGTGAAGTAATGTTTAGTGGCTCGGAAAAAAAATTTCTCATTCAAATTCACTTTCATACAAATACCCTTGGAAAAGGTATGGATCCATCTTTTCTATCCCCTGGCTATGGATTGATTACCAGGGCAGACTGGACTTTTTGCTATGGTTGGCAACCAGTCTAGGAGAAGGACAATTCTGAATTCAAAACCGTATGCAGCCTTGGTGGGGTCTATACATGAACTGTAACTAAGATCTGCTCAGCATAGAGGCAATATAAATGAGAGATTGACTCTGTGAGAGCTGGGTTTAAAAATAGTTTGTTTCTGTCTCAATTCTCAGTTGGTTGTGGTTCATGGCCATTCTTAGTGGGTTGATCTGTCTAGATTCTGACAAGAACAGAATTCTGGCCTGCTAACTAGTGTACCAATATGTGTTTCTTCAATGGCATACTTGGAATTTATTGCATCCAATTCTGGGTTAGTTTTCTCATGCATTTTTATAGGAAAATTCCATTAGAAAATTGAGTCAGCCTTTTAATTTGGAAAGTTCCATAATATAATTGTAAGTTTCTTCCCAAATAGAAAGTCAAATCAAGTCTCCCTCATGACAATTGGGCCCACTTTCCATCTTTGGAATGGCAAATCTAACCTTTATCTCCC